TACTAGTACTAGTTTTTTAGCTTCAATTAAAATATGTAAAATTATAATTTTACCTGTGCGGCATTTGGGATTCCCATAAATTCTTTGAAATCATGGGAGATACCTGGAACTGAGACATATTTCCATTTTTGTAATTGCAACAGAAAATAGATTAAAGTATTCACAAATTAATTATAACACGGTTCAGGAAAAATGTACATATTAAGAAGGGGAAAATATTCGAAAAGTAGCAAGTGAAACTGAAACGGGCTTTGTTGAATTAATTTTGTTGTTGTGTGCCAATTAACTGAACATTGTATACATTAATATTAAGAGCAGCTAATACTAGCACAAGAGATAATGATAGGAACTTCACGAAGTTGTTGGCTTATCAAACTTGAGTTTCTTATGCAAATTCTTGATAAGAATTGGTTTTGAAACTTTTAACTCTCTTGTCCCCAACATCAAATATAGATTTCTCTATTTATCAATTTTAGCCACAGTATTAAAAATAAAATATCAAATTTGTGAAAACATGAATTCCAAGAATTTCCTCTAGATGATGATAGCCACAACCAAATCAACAATCAATCTATCTTTAGTATATTTCTTACTTAAAAAGTTTGTAAGGCAAACAAAAAAATGTAGGTGCTAAAAGGGAAAATTGGTTCTAGGCCAGAAAATGTTATTATTTAAATTTGTTGACATTTAAAAATTAAAAACACTTTCAAAGATTAAAATGTTTATCGGTTATAATTCTAAAAGATTCTTTATAAGAGTATTTTAACCAAAGAAACTAGAAAAAAGCAACTTAGAAAAAATAAACTAAATAAACATTTGGACATTTAAACAAAAACCTCAAGCTTATTTTCACAACATTTTGAACAGATTTTTATGTTTGCCACCCCACAATTACGCCCCGAACAAAGTTTCAATTAAGTTGGCGGCGTGCAAAACCAAATAAAATAAATACATACAGATGTATAATGAAGTGAAAAAAAGAATAAATTCGGAGAGAACGTTAGCCCGTGGCCACAGTTTGTAGATTGTAGAGGTCAAGGCTATAATGCTTTCTATATGTATGGGCGGGCTGCTCGCGAGGGTCTGATACGAATAACCGACGGAAAAAGTGCAAATAAATTTGTGACGCATTTTTATTTTGTTATTGCAAATGATATAAATACACCCGAGCGGCAATGCACACAGTTGAACAAAAGCACAGACACATGTGTGCCCCACTCAAACGAAATGAAAAACGCGAAATGTGTACGAGAAAAAGAGAAGGCGACGTAAGAGCACAACGAACTTTTGCGAAATGTGAAATTATAAAACAAAGCGCGCGGCGTAGGCAACAACAATAATAATAAAAATACAAAAACAAAAAAAAAAACGAGCACTAAAACAACTACAGCTGCAGCAAAACCAATACCGATACCAACGGCCAACAGGCTCAACAAATGCCAATTTAAATGCTAAAAAAAAGGCGCTAAAAAACAAAACAATCCGCAATGTTTGCTATTGTGTTGACTTGTTTTTGGCACTGTCTCTTTCCTACACTCCTAAACCCGAATTGTTGTTGCCATGTTTGTTTGTTTTAAGCCAAGGCCAAGCTCAGGGAATTTTTCACTGGCTCTTCTTTTTTGTATCTTTTTATTTTCCAACACAATCGTCGATAGCAACAGTAAAAATTAAAATTTTAAATTGCAAATACTCAAAACAAAACAAAAACTAAAAAAAATAATCAGCAAAGAGAGAAAAGATAAGGGAAAACGCAAATAAAATGTTTGCTTAAACACGAAGGAGAAAGCTTGTTGGTTGATTAGGATAGATTGTGGCTTTTTTAATGAGCTATCAAGTTCATTCACTTGAGGAAATCGAAAGGAAATGTTAAGTAAAATTAATTAAACAGAAACGCAGAATGTTTAAACAAAGATGAATAAATCAGAAATATAATTGATGAATGCATGTTCATATTTTTTTCAATTCTTTATACATTGTTGCCCAAATCAACCTTGTAAATAAAATAGAAAAAGAAACCAATTACCTTAGAAAAACGGATTAAGAATCCTAAAATTTAATTTATTAATAACATTAAAACAAAGCAGGAATAAAACTGTGCTGCGGATTTGGGATCTTGGGTCCTAACCGCAATTTTGCATTCTTATTCTCAAAGTACTCAACGAAATTTGAAAAAAACTCATTTGATATTATAGCGACTATATTTCCGAGTTGCATTGCGTAATACAAAAATCACCTTAGTAACAAGAAATAATGCTATAACTTCACGGACTTCGATACAAGACAGGTTATGAATGCTAAAACCTCTTTTTTAATGCTTGTGGCTTTAAATACAATTGTGTTTTAACATCTATCTATTCTATTTGTATGACTTTTTCATTTTAACATCAATGGCGGATTCAAAATGAACTAATTAATTAATAAAAAACTGTTTTAATTAAATGATCAGGTCTCATAAGTTACTTATTTACTAAGAACTTACAAAACCAATTTTGAAAACAGAACACAAATATTAAGTTTTTTATTTGGTTATAATTAAACAGGGGTAAAATATATAAAACTGAGTAGTAATTATTTATCCACCAATTGTTTAATTTTTTATTTAGAAGAATAACTTTTAAGAAAGCTTTCCTTTTTCCTTTCTATTAAAGCAAACAATTAAAGACAAACAGAATATGACGTTTCGCTAAGTATTGTTTATGTGCCAAGAATCAATAGAGCATTCATTAATGAAGCGTTAAACTGATTTAAATTACCCTGAAAATTAAATAAACGACAATCGATATTTCTTTGCAGCTTTTTTGAATCGTTTAAAACACACACCATTCGGTTATTTTTAGCTGTAGTTTATGCTGCTTTAAACATTTTAACAGGTCTGCCCATTTTGAAAGATACAGATGTACACACAAATATTTAAATATTCGCTACATATATAAAATGACAATTAACAATGTCGAACACGCCCACAACACAACAACAGAAATGAAATTCGTTAAATAACTTTTGACGGGCTCCGTCAGCTATTTGTGCGCAAATCGAAAAAGATTTCTTGTTTTGTCTCTTTTAACTATTTGTTTTCTTTTATTTTTATGTTTAGTATTTGTTTTTGTTTATAATAGATGTGATTGCTGCGGCCTTTCGCCTTGAGTTGCGTGTATTTTCGCTTATTCTCGCTAATGTTTTTATTTCTGTCATAATTTTTTTTTATAAATGGTTAATCTGCCTATTATCTCTATATTTGTTTATGTACTTGTTAATCAGGCAACACGTGAGGCTAGTGTTAGTTTGGGGTCGGTCAGTCCGTTAGTTGTTCCCCAGAATTGATAACGCTACAGGTCTACAGGTGCTTAAAAAGTGTTTGGGAGGCATCAGGTCGAGGAATTTCCACGGAATTGTTTTAACTGAAATTCAAACACGCGTATGACCTCTAAGGGGTAGATCCATTGTCGGCCTTATCTCTTTAGCATATGGCTGAAACTCGAAATTCCAAGCGGAACACGAGCCGACGAACTGCAAGAGAATTTGAGACGTCTTATCTGAGACTTTTTTTTATAACTTGCAGCAATTTTTAATTTCAAGTTTAAGAAGCAGAGAACTTTGAATCACATTAATTGAATTGTAACTTACGATAACAATGCGAAACTTGAAATTTATGTTGAATAATATGTTATTTAAAGAATTTTAAACGAAAATATAGAATCATAAAATAAATGAGTAGGTTATAAATATAATAAAAATTAGTTATTTATTTTCTTTTATATAGAATTAGGCATATATATATTTGCTATTATTATTTAAAAATTTTACTTTTATAATTATTTGTTCTACTCCCAAAAACACATTATATTATATTCTTGTCGAAAATTCTAGAGTTAATCCAAATTTGTGTCAAATTGCTCTTAGTTTCGCCATAAATGAATCATTTTGGGCATTTTGTGCTGTGCTCGGTTCATTGGAAAGTCAGTTTATTTTCGTGCACGTTCTTTAGAAAGTCGTTGAACTGTTTGCATTTCCCTCTCGCCCACTCTCTCTCCCCCTGTTTATCCCTCTCTTCTCCCACGAATTATATTGTAAAAGGCAAAAAGAATTTTTAAGTTTATTGGTTTTTAGCCATTTCATCATCATGCTGCGGAATTTGTTCATATTAGAATGAGTGCCAGTGGACTTCAACTTTTATAGCCATAATAATTACTTTAAAAAATAACAAAAAAAAAAAAAAAAACTCAAAAAGATTAAACTATGACTTTTGAATGCTTCCTGAAATATTATATATATGTATTTATTTAAATCTTTTGTTATTCTCGCAATTGGCTAAGCTTCATTAACATTCAATAAATTAAAAAATGGGAAAAATCATAAGATTAATTTACAAAGCAAATCATATGTTTAAGTACAATCTAATAAGTTTGAATAATCTGAGTTTTCGGCAGACAACCCTATACAATTTTGCTTACTTTTTTTTAAATTTTGGATTAAGGCTTGATTATTATCCTTGTATTTATTGGATTCCTTAGCCTTTTGCAAATGCTTGTTAATTGATTTGCATTCTCATATCAAAGTATTTGGGAATCTGAAAGCCTTGGTTATGTGCAAACAAATTATTTGCTCGTTGTTCTCATCTGTTTAATGACTAAATTTTTCTAGAAATAGACAAGTGATCTTAATATTAAGGTTATTGGCTTTATCAAAATATATTCAAGCGCAATTAGTTAGAAACAAATTATTCATATTAGCACGCCAATATATTTAATAAATTTTTGTATTGCTTTGATATTTTGTGTCGATATGGTGTTTGTTGTACAGCATATGACTTAATTGGGTGCTTTTAATAAATTTTAAATTGCTTTACGGGTCATTAAACTTGACTCATGATGATAATTATAAGGTAGTTATATTGTTGATGCAATTTGAATATAACATATTAAAATTAATGTATTGGGTATATAAATTAGGTGATCTATATATTTCTTTATCATTAATTACATTTGTATTTATTTTTCCAGACCACCACCATGGAACCCAACAGACATCACGAATATCAAACACATCATCAGCCGCATCCGTCGATGCAGCACCATCCACCGCATCCACATCACCAGCAACCGCACCACCAGCAGCCGCACCACCCACAGCAACCGATCCACCACCATCACCCGCCGCCTCCTCAGCAGCAGCAGCAGCAGCAACAACAACAACAACCACCACCACCGCAGCAGATCCACCAGCAGCAGCATCCACATCACTACCAGCAACTGCACCACCATCCGACGAGCTCCACATCGGTGGGCAGTTCTTCCTCCGCCAGCTATGGCAATCACCACACCCAGCATCACCCAACATCAATGGCCGAGGATCAGCGATCCAGGACAGCGATGTATATGAGCAGGAGCACGCAGCCTGGCTTGCCACTACCTTCGCATCCTCCGCCACAAGGAGCAGGTGCCTCTGGCGGCCCCAGTGGAAGTGATCCCCATATGCAATACTACACCTCGAACCAAAGTTTGACGGTGAAGAAGATGCCCGAACCACCGCATCCCAGTTGGAGCTACAAAAGCCAAGCTGTACCGGCTCCAGCTCCGGCACCTGGATTGCGGCAGCATGGGAATCCCGGCCTGTATGCGACGGGCAGTACGGCCTACTGGCAGCCACCGGATGAGCAGTTGCATCACCAGCAGTCATCCAGATATTCCTATGGGAAACCAGGAGGCCCCGTTACGGGCTCGAGATCTATTCAAGGACCCCCGCCAAATAGCCAGCGATACTACAGCGAGGACATCAAGTACTCCACGGTACCTGCCGCATCCAAGGTGCTCACCTACGCACCACCAGCCAGCAGCTCCTCGCAGCCACAGCCAACGCCACCCACCTCCAGCTCGTCCTCCAACTCGTCATCCGTCCGCCACTATGAACTCGAACATGTGGTTAATCCTAGTAATCCTAGCAACGAGCACCAGCAACCGAGTCCGAATTATGGAAGAAAGTGCCCGCCGCACTATGAAACTCCGCCGGAGCAGAGGAGTGCCGGCGCCACGCCCTCTTCGACGGGCACGCCCACGTCGTCATCGCACCACCAGAGCCTGTATATACCGATGCCGACATTTAGTACGGAAAAGTTCCAAACTACCGTGCACAATGCGATTGAGAAGTACGTACGGGAAACTCCGGGACCCAGTTTGGAATATCCCAGAGGTGGAGCCGGAGCAGCTGTGGGTGCTGGTAGTGGAGCTGCCTATGGACGCACCAACTACTACAATCAGCAGCCGGTGAAGAGCTCCAAACCAGCACTGCCTGTTCCACCAACTGCCACCTCTAGTTATGTGAAAATGGAGCCAGAGCATGCGCTCACCGGAAGTTTGCCGCAACCTACGAGATCCTCGCTATATCACAACCCATACAATGTGGAGAGCAGAGAAAGGGATGCATCGCCAGCCATGGCCACTGTGCCGGCGCCACATGGTTATCCAACGAAATATGGAAAGCTGATACAGCAGCAGCATGCTGGCGGAGTGGGAACGGGTAGCTCTACGCCGTACTCAAGCTACTACCATCAGGGAACACCTTCGCCAGCAGCGGGAGCGGTGGCCTCACCCACGCCAGTACCAGCACCACCGCCATCCGGTGCCCCGGGAACGATTCTGGGTCCCGGGATTCCTTCTCCACACAGCAGCCAGTCTGCTCCTCCGCCAGTCAACAGTCAGCAGCCCGCCTCTTCCTCATCCTCCAGCAATGCCAACTACTCCACGCTGCAGGTTTATCCACACGGCCCGGATATCTGCTACCAGCCTGGTAGTCAATCCCAGCCGCAAAACCAATCCCAGAGTCATATAAATCCGGCCAAAAAACCACCAGCTGTTACAAAACCGAATTATCGTGCTTTAATCAACGATATGTTGAAGAGGAATACAGCCAGTGAGCAGGAACTTAATCTTCAGATCATCAAGAAGACTCTTAATCATGCGGCACCCAGTAGAGTCATCCAACAACAGGGTACTGTGCCCGCTTCTGCTCCACATCCGCCGCCGCCAGCGATTCATTCGCCATTGGATTTATCCATGCGTACGGTGAAGCAGACGGCGGATTCAACGGAGTACAAGTACCAGAGGCCCAGCACAGATTACAAGCTACCGGCAGCGGGTTTGGGCGGTGGACTGGGATTGCCCAGGTTCGACATCACGCCCAACTTCTCGGCGGCCACCAGGGGCGGAGCACCCACGAGTCCGGCGCCAACAGCTGTGATACGACAAGCTCCGGCAACTCCGGCCGTTCCTCTTCCACCCACGGTTTCAGTTCCTCCGGCGGCGGCTGCCCCGACCTTGGTAATCAAAACGCTGCAACAGATGCGTCCCAGTGTGCTGGAAAGCAATCCGTTTGCCAAGCGACAGCAGCAGCTGCCGCCAGAGACGAGTATTGTCCAGGTGAACAAACCACCGGTGGAACTGATGCCCACACCGTCGCCAAGTCCCCACAACAGCAGTAATCCCAACTATTTGGGTAGGAAGAGGCACCTTCAGGAGTACAATCAAGCGGCCGCCAAGCAGGCGAGATTGGATGCGGAATCTTCAGGATCTCTAATCGCAGGAGCACCCCTAATTGCTGCTCCCACCTCAGTGGTTGTAGTGGCTCCGGTGCCCGTGATCGCTGTGAACGAACAGGCGCTGGCCGCCAAGCGGGAAAGGGAAATGCAGCCGGTGAGCCTACCAGAATCCTCCACTTCCGCCAGTCCCATACCCAAGATGGAACCCCGAATTCGTACCAAAGCAGAGCTTAAGGGTTTCACATTTACACCACCTGTGCTGGTAACCTCCACCACCAATGCCTCGTCCAGTACAATTTCTCCGCCCAGGACACCACCCAACCAGATTACCAATCACATACAAATCAAGCTGGAGCCAGCGCCACCGAAGGCGGCTGATTTGGGTCTGGAAGATGAAGTCAGCTTGGGAAACCTGATGGACTGGAGCAGTACATGTAATAATCTCGTCGAGCAATTACTTAGCAAGGTGGTGGTGCTGCCACCTTCGTTGCCACCCGCCACAACCACCGGTATTAAACTGGAGCTGAGTGAAGATGATCTGCCAGTGGCTCGCATTCTCAAGAGGCAACCTTTGGCAGCCGTAACTCCAGCTGGCGGAGATGCCGAATCGGCCACCACCCAATTGACCACCACTACCAACGGAATCTCTTCGTCTTTGGGCAATGGCAGTGGCCAAAAGAAACTCAGCAAAATGGAGAGGGAGAAGAAACGTCTGCAGCAGGAGAAAAGAATGGCCGCCCGATTGGCGCCCCAACAGGGACAGAGTAGCTCGTCGGAGAGCGATACCACGGAGCTGCACAAGCGCAATTCCGCCAGGCAGAAGAAACCTCTTATGCGGAAGGGAAGAACAAGGCAAAGGTCTCCAGAAGCAGCCAGCATTCAGCAGAGCAGCGATGAGGAGCAGGAGAAAACCAATCAGCGTCTGAGCCGCAGTCAAACCTCCAGTGAGGAAAGTAAAGCGAAAGCTACCTCCGCCAAAAAAGAAGTTAAGAAGGAGGTTAAAACTCCCAATAACAAGGCCAGCAATAGCGCCTCTCTAACCAAAACCAACAAGAAACAATTCGATGCTCCCAGCCAAAACAAAGCTAAGGATGAGGAGAATCTAAAGCAGGAAAGCCAGGAGAGCAGCTCCTCGGAAAGTCACGAAGAAGACGAGGGCGAAGAGGAGGAGGATCAGGAGGAGGAGGAGGAAGAGGAAGAAGCTGAAGAGGATGACGAAGAGGAGCAGGAGGAGCAGGACAAGAAGAAGGAGAAGCGAGTGGGTCGGCGACCGGGGAACACCCTCAAAAAACGAATTGCCCACAAGCTGAACACCATGACCCGCTCTAAACATCGCAAGGAACTCGAACTCCAGTTGGCCAATAGTAAGGTTCTACGCAATGACAAGATCATCAGAAATTCCACCACCAAAATCAAGAGAAAGTACGTCCGCAAAGTGGTGGACAGCAAAAAGGAGATGATGGTCACGCGATTGAGAAACAAACGTGGGCTGAATTCGGATTTGGGACAACTGAATGGTAGAAATTCTAAGCTGAAGGGTAACAAAATGGGTAATAGTGCCGGAAAACCTGCAAAGACTTCACCTCAGCAGCAATTGTACCTGGAAGAGTATCGCTACAAGTTGGCTTTGAAAATCCCCCACCGCCTGATCTCGATCAATAAACTCAATAAAGTGGCCGCCTCAATGCCGGATTTGGAGCGACGTGATCTCAGCCAGGAGTTGGCCTGCTTTAAGAGAAATAGACCCAAGACCAAAGCAGCCAGTAAGCAGGACTCCACACCGAAATCGATAATCGATGTTCTCCATTTGAGAGTAACCTCAAATGGCAGTACGCCGAGTACACAAAGGAAGATCTCCGTCTCGGCACCCGCTTCCACCAACCTGCAGATCCACAGTGAAACCTCGCAAACTTCCGCCTCGACTTCACTGTACGAGCAACCGCAGCAGGAGCCAACGGAAAACCAGTCCCTAGATGATCTCAGCAAGCGACACTTTAGCATCTTCGATACGAAAGTGTTGCAGAGCAAAACACGAACGGAAACCAAGTTGCAGAAGCACCGGGAGATCATCCGTGAGATTTTCGTCGGTCCGGAACGTCCGGCTTCGGCTCCGCCGGAATGTGCCCAAGAGTCGGAGGCCGGGGAGGCTATTAGTTACCAGAAATACGAGGAGTTCCTGCAGCAAATGAACAGCATAGTCAGTGCCAATGATAACAAGTTGGCCAGGAGATCTCTAATGGAGGATAAGTCCGTAACAGTTCCCCAGTGTCCGCACAAGAGGAAGTATCTTCGCAGGAAAGGCAGCTCGGGTTTTGATTATATAAGAAAGAAGAAGCGACCAACTCCAACACAAAATCAAAACCAGAATCAGAATCACAACCAAAATCATAATCAAAGCCAATCTGCGAGTCAATTGACACAACATCTATTGGATCACAATCAGAGTGCGGCGGATGAGCGATTGGATGATACGGATAGCACCATAGCAGGTAGTTCCCACTTGCCACCGAAGGTCAAAACGGAGTCGGATGTTTGTCGGGAGATCCAGAAGTGGGTGCTCAACAAGGGTGTGGGTCAGAGCACCATGCATAAGGCTGCTCGTCAGGGATTGATCGATGTGGTGGTCTACTGCTTGGATCATCTGAATATGAACCCGGATCAGAAGGACAATGCCGGCTACACACCCCTCCACGAGGCTTGCACCCAGGGATGGCTGGAGATCGCCAGGATACTGCTCCAATTCGGAGCCAATCACTCGGAGGCTGCTCAATCCGGAATCAGACCCTTGCATGGAGCCATCGAAAATGATCACGAGGAGGTGGTGCGCCTGTTGCTCTCCTATGGCGCCGATCCGTTGCTGGCAACTTACTCAGGTTGGCTTTAGATATGCATATATATACATCAGTTTTTTAATCTTTATTTTGTTTATTTTCTGCGACGATTTAGGTCAAACCCCGCTAATGTTAGCTTCAAGCAAGTTGATGCGTGGCATTCTGCGCGCTCATCTCAGCGATGCACAAAGTGCCGCCGCTGACATCAAGCCAATGCAATTCCATGGGCCTTGGAAGATATTTGGTGAGTGGAAAAATAAACCAACTCATGTATTCTGAAAAGCAGCTTTGCAGGCTGAAATAAGATTTCTACCAGATACTGATTAAGCCATAATATTAAAACATATAAATTATAAAATTCCTGTTACTTTCTTTTTTTTTTGGGCTTTAAAGTCCAAAAGGAAGAGCAATATTTATTTCTTAATATCAGATAATTAATCATTTTTATACCCTTGCAGAGGGTATTATAATTTCAGTCAAAAGTTTGCAACGCAGTGAAGGAGACATTTCCGACCCTATAAAGTATATATATTCTTGATCAGCATCACCAGGAGAGTCGATCTAGCCATGTCCGTCTGTCCGTCTGTCCGTCCGTCTGTCTGTCCGTCTGTCCGTCCGTCCGTTTCTACGCAAACTAGTCCCTCAGTTTTAAAGCTATCTGCTTGAAACTTTCCCAAAAGTTGTCTTTCTATTGCAGGTAGTATATAAGTCGGAACGAGCCGGATCGGGCCACTATATCATATAGCTGCCATATAACTGAACGATCGGAAATGCCATAACTTTGGTGTTTTTAAAGTTAGGAAGTTGGGATTTTCTATGAGTTTTATTTTTGGCCAATCAATCCGACCTACTAAATTTCATAAGGATCGGCCGACTATATCCTATAGCTGCCATATAACTGAACGATTGGAAATGCCATAACTTTGGTGTTTTTAAAGTTATCAAGTTGGGATTTTCTATGGGTTTTATTTTTGGCCAATCAATCCGACCTACCAAATTACATAAGGATCGGCTGACTATATCCTATAGCTGCCATATAACTGAACGATTGGAAATGCCATAACTTTGGTGTTTTTAAAGTTAGGAAGTTGAGACTTTTTATGAGTATTAAGAATACACCATATGAATAATTTTGAAGAATATAATTTACAGAATATTCTGCAAGGGTATATCAACTTCGGCTCCGTCCGAAGTTAGCTTTCCTTTCTTGTTTTATAATAGTAATCAAGCATACATAAACTAAACAATATTAAACTAAACAATATTATATTATGGCTCAGCTTATCTTTTAAGACGTATCAACACCTTGCTTATCGAGTCTCTTACTTATCTTTAAATTAATCTATTGCAGATGCTAAGGAGTATGGTTATGATATATTCAGTAATGTACCGAATACAGCTTGTGATATGAGCAGAGCTCTACGTAGAGAAAGGAAGGAGGCCAAACAGCAGAGGATGAGCAGCAGCAATAGCACCAGTAATTCAAATTCCAACGGCAATGGCTTGCTACCAACCAAGAAGGAGGAGCAGGAGCCCGAGGATTTGGACCAGGAGCGGGTGAAAACGATCAAGCAGAACGGGGAGACGAGTGCAACGAAGACTGGACCAGCAACTACGACAGCGGCAACAACGATGGTTAAATTGGAACCAGGAATCGATGAGGATAGCAATAACAATAAGAACAACGACGAGCTAAATGCTAATGTTGAAAATAATTTAGTAACAAGCGTTGTGAATGTCAAGAATGAAGTGAAAAAGGAGGTGGATGCTGAAACAGAAGCGGAAACGGAAGGAAATATGATTAGTAGGAGTAGGCTAGACGACGATCAGACGGACATCGAGACAATGGATAGTGAATCGAATGGTGATATTTTTGAATTTGAAGAGGCCGATGTGCCCTTGCCACCACTGTACTTGCTCAAAGACGAGGGCAGTGATAAATGGGTACTACTCAACGATTTGTGCAATTTACTTAAAGTTAAATCAAAGGATACGTTGCTCAACAAGGTATGTGGGATGGGATAGAACAAATATAAAATATTAAGGGAAGAAACAATAATTGTTAATTTAAATGTTCAACAATATTTATTTAATAAAGAAAATGTCGATAGCATCAAACAAATTAAAATCTAACAAAACTATTTGAAATCAAGAGTAATATCTTAAACCAAACTGTCCGGACCCATAAATGCTTTTTAATTACAAATTTAATTAATGTATAAATTGTGAAATTTATTTTACCATTACTTGGAACGACGCAGCAATTATTTTTCTCACTTAATGTCTTTTTTTATAAATCAAAATAAAATATATTAATATTTTCTATTATTGCAGCTCTGCCCGAACAACAGCAATGCGTTGGCCAGCAGTCAGAAGCACCTGCTCCGGGAGTTCAAGATCGACGATTTCCTGGAGAAGGCCACCTGCCTGCAGCTGTTGTGCGCCGGTGAAAAACTGAACATGTTCAGCTCCTCGAAGGTTGTGCTCATTAAATACAACGACAGTGTGCGCAACTTGTTGGGCGTCAAGACCATTTTAATGAAATTTTAACCGAGATATACATAGCGATAGGACGAGGCATGATCCAGAAAGAAACCACTTAGAAAATGATGAACAGATGAACCTAGTACTAACTGAAATTAGAGTGTAAAGTGCAAACAAATATTGAAAAACTATTAGTACGAATATAATTATAGATTTACATATTATACATATGTATATTTTAGCTAGTAGCTAGTTTTTACTCACACGTCTTTATCTTTGGAAGATAAAGTCTTTTTTAAAGGAAATTAAATTAGAGCTAATGCAAAGTGATACAAAGGTGCTATACACACTCAAAACGAAGAAAAATGAAACGGAAATGAATGGAAATTTTAAAGAGAGAATATTGTAAAAATCTGGAATCTTTAGGATTGGCTGCAATAATGCAATTCAATAGTAGAACAAACGGAAGCGAGGCAATGAGAGTAATGGAAACGAACAGAAAATGTATGCCAGCCAAGCAGCTAATAAATCGATATATACAGATATATCTAGGGATAAAGTGTAATCTATGGTTTTTAAAAAAAGCAAAACAAATTAGCTAAAGTATAAATTAAATAATAATTATTGTAATAATATTAAAGCAGCAACAAAGGCGTATTTATGTATTATGTATTTTTAAATGAAATTATTAACATAATATATAAAGTATATGTATACACAATATGATCCAACTATAATGTAAATCAATTTTCAGATAGGTTTGTAATTTTCTATGTAATGTACGTGTGTAAGTTTTGTGCAACTATAAAAGGAACCACAAAAAAAAACAAAAGAAATTTAACAAAAAAACTAATAATGAGAAACAAAATAAATGCAAAGTGAAATTTTGGGAATTTAAAAGGGGTTTTCTGAATACGTAGTGGGAAAAAATTCTTAGACGAAAAAATGTGAAGAATGATATCATTTTATAGTGGTCTTTCCTAATTTTGTCAAGATAAATAACCTCTGAAGTTTCAAGAGATTTCCCATAGAACCATAAAATCTTTTTATGAAATACCAAACAAAACACAAGAAATAATCAAGTGTATTTGTTTGGATCAATAAGTATTCGCTAGGTGTCTGAAATATTTTCTTGGGCTTTAATATTAAAAAAAAATATTTTGATGTTCCAAACAGGACCGATTTCTTTAAAAAAAACCTTAAAAACCGTTAACTAAGCGCTCAAGTAACTCATATTTCTATCGTTTTCGTAAATGTTTTCGATGTGTCAATATTATATGCACTACAAATTTTAAGTTTTTTTATTAAAAAAGTTCACGGAGTTTTTTTTACATCCTTTACTTTTTTATTAAATTCATTAATTTAAAACCCAATAATTTATCAAGCAAAAAGCCTTGATATGCGAAAGCTTTAGGGATGACCAATTACGCGATGATTTTGTGTTATATCGATAAGAGTTCGGTGCTGCCCACTCGAGCCAATTACTTGAGCACTTATTTTGAAATAACCGTTAGAAGGCAAAAGTTTTCCGATTTCAACTTGTTCTTATTTAAGAAGATTATGACAACTTCTACCTAATAAAAAATATGGATAAAATACATGGATTCTGAAAATTAAAAATTGTTTGACGGTCGAAACTTCTTAAGTTTTGTCCAGAAAATAAAATTAAATTCACTGAATTGATGTTTGCCTAAACGACGACCCTCATGTGAATCCAAGTAGATGCCCCGAAACGTTTACCCTTTCATTGGCAAAAAGATTTTCCTAATTTTTTTTGCCTACAATCCATTTAAAAATCGGATGTCTGAAAGAAAAGTTATGGTCTTAGATTTGGGACACTTTTCTACAAAGCCATTTTTCCAAAAATTTTAAAAGGGGTTACCTCATTAAAGGACATAGAATCGACACAAAAATACAAATCAAGATGAAGTTACAGATTTTAAGGGAATTAAACCACAATCATTTAGAAATATATGACTATTGAATCGGATGTCTGTAAGAAAAGTTATAGGTTTAGAAGTGCAGGTTTTTGGTCGCTTTTCAGCAAAGCCATTTTTCGTAAATTTGGAAAGGGGTTAGCTCATAAAAATGACGAAAAACCGACCCAAAAAGAAAAAACGAGATGAGTATACAGATTTTTAGAGAACTAAACCACAATCATTTAGAAATATGCCACGGCGGAATCGGATGTCTGTAAGAAAAGTTATGGGCTTAGAAGTGCGGGTTTTTGGTCACTTTTCAGCAAAGCCATTTTTCGAAAATTTGGAAAGGGATTAGCTCATAAAAATTACGAAAAACCGATCCAAAAATAAAAAACGAGATGAGTATACAGATTTTTAGAGAATTAAACCACAATCATTTAGAAATATGGCATTGCGGAATCGGATGTCTGTAAGAAAAGTTATGGACTTAGAAGTGCAGGTTTTTGGTCACCTTTCAGCAAAAACAAATTTTAAAAATTTGGAAATTAGTTAGCTCATACAAATTATGAAAAATCGACCCAAAAATACAAACCAAATATAAACTTTGTCTGGCATAAGAGGAATTTAACCGCCAAAAACTTAAATTTAATCGTTATCGATTTTTTTCCAGATGTCGCCCGCCAAAGCTTGGTCTGCCATGCCCGAGTGTGGGTACGTGTGAGTGCTTTTAGCTGAAAGCTTTCGATTTTCATATGATTGCCGTCCTTGTTCTTCAAACGTTTTTTTAAAGGCCAAGAATGCTGCCTCTCTGTCCTTGGCCCCGCTTGCAGCCCCACACACTATCCCGAACACGCCTGTATGTGTGCGAGGGCTTTCGGTCTCTTCTACCTACGCCAACAACAGTGTTCCCGTTCGAGTCGTTGTGGTGTGGCCTACAGACCTAATTTTTTGCGCGGAATAGTTTTTCCCAAAAAAATGAAGCCAGCGAATAAACAATAGCCCAGAAGATAGCAAAGAAAGTGAGAGTGAAAGTAAAAAAAGCGGAAAAGAACGAACTGGCGTTAATTGTGTGTGTATTTAATATTTCCTATGCGTCCATAACGGGAGTGTGTTTTTGATCGCCCCTTCACCCTCTTCTTGTTCGACTTTCGCTGAATTTCAATGTGCAATTTTGTTTAAAAATTAACACAAAGTGGGAAGATAGCGTTGTGTCATAGAATTGGAGCAAAAGCAAAAAAACAAGACGAAAATTAGCAAAGGCAAACGGAAAAACAACAACACAGAATGCCCAGTAGAAGCCCAGTACATATGTGTATATACACGGTGTGACCATGTGTGTGTGTGTGTAGTAGGAATTGCAATTTATAGTTGTTGTTTCCGAGAGCTTTCGCTTGTTGCGCGCGTGCGACGATTGTGCAAGAAGTTTTAGTGTGTGTAAAATCGGGAAGAGGAAATAGCAGAGAATAGAAGGAGAATAGCATGGGAATAAATACAAAATAAATAAAGCAACAAATAAAAAAATAAATCGCCAAATGCGTTCGGCGTTGCGTGTGTGTGCGTGTGCTGAAATATGCTGAAAAGGCTCTCGGAGAGCGAAAGTCAGAGAGCGAGAACGATCGGGAGAAGCAGCAACAACGATCGGCGAAATGAATCACACGCAAGCTTTGTTTTGCGAATTATAAATTCGCGTTCTCCACATATGCGAATTCCCACACTGAGAGCGAGACAGAGAAAGAGGGAGAGCAGCAACAACCACAACAACAACAAAACCAAGACATAATAATAGAACTTTTGCTTTCGGTTCCAACTGGTTTTTGTATACATAAAAAGAGGGAGAGAGAGCTCTTCTTCTTCCTCCGCGATCTTCGTCTTGGAATTCATGGAAACCGGGCGCATGCGCAAAACAAAAACTACAAAAGGAAAAACAACGACGTCAGCTGCATGAAAGGTAAGTTCTCGATTCTCCCCACTTCTCAACTTCCTTTCGCTCCCTCTCTTTCCCCAAAACCCCCTTTTACCATTTGTCTAGTTGGCGGAGCTTTATTTTATTGCATTTAACTTCTTAAAATGGTGAGGATCGAGCACAGAAAAAAACAACATATATTTTGGACATGATCTTCATATAATAAGATCATTTTTCTTTATCTTAAATATCATAAGGTCAATTTGTATTTAAATTAATATTTTTTAAATTAAGTCCTGCTTGAGAACAACAAGTAAAATGAAATATTAAAAAATATATGTTTTTACATAGTAAAATTACAATTATTGTAAATTATTTTTCTCTGTGGAAGACACGGGGGTTGATGAGATTGGACAACGAAAAGTGAAGAACTTGGAGTCGAGTGAAGTTAATTGAAGTCTCACGAAAAGGGGATATTCACAGGGTTCAGTCAGTGGGAAAATGTTACCAGTTTTATGTTTCGCGAACTGTAAAATTATTTTGAATGGGGGAACAAAAATACATTACTGATTTAGTTAGTTTCAAGAGGAAAGCTAACCAATATCTGCACGAAGAGGAATTTAGTTATATACTTTAATTTAACAATATTTTGCCAAAGTAAAATAATTTAAAATTGTATCTTTTGTTGTATATTTTTCGATAAAATGCATTCCAAGGCTCCTTAAAAATTGATCGTATTGCTTGAAAATATTTCATAACTAATTCATTTCTAAATAAAACATTGCTTGTAAAAAAACAATGCACCTTTAATATAAAAATGATTTTTATGAAATGTTCACAAGAGCAAAACAAATGTCAAATATTTTTGCGTGGTGTATGTTTTTGCATTTCCACTTAAGAGGTTAACAACTCTTTATGAACTGAAAATAATTCAAAAGATAAAATAAAACAGGAACAAACCAATATGTAAGATTGTTAACCTACAAAGTTATTGGCTGGGTAATCAAGTGGTACCGAAAAAGCTTTAAAAGCTTTTACCCCTGACTTTATAAAGAGTTGACCTTGGCCTGCTTTGTACAACCATTAGACGTGTCCTTGGCCCACATTCCCTATGACCCAACCTTCAACTTGACCCTGGCTTAACCTAGACCTTTTATATCCGTGTCCTACTTCCTTAAAATTAATGTTTATTGAAAATAAAAATTAAGTTTCTCTATTAGTATTTAAAACAATTGTAACCGACGTAAATTTATAAATAATATTACAAATTTGTTTGCCTTTTCAGATCTTTAAGCAATTTTAAACAAACTAATACTATCGTTACCTGCCATTACGAATCAACAAAAAACCAATCCCACACATCACAACGAAACGTACAAAAAGATAAAGTAAAATAATAATAAAATGGATACCTTCAATGTACCTATGCTGGCAGAAAGCAGCAGCAACACCTATGCAACAGAAGCTACCAGCAACCATCACCATCTGCAACATCAGCAGCAACAGCAGCAGCAACTCTTAATGCCCCACCATCACAAGGATCAAATGCTGGCCGCCGGCAGTACACCATTATTGCCCTTTTACTCCCACTTGCAATTGCAACAGAAGGATGCAACAGCAACAATGGGATCTGCAGCAGGAACCGTTGCAGCAGCAGCAACATCGGCAACTGCAGACAACTTCAGTTCCTTGCAAACGATCGATGGCAGTCAATTGGATGGTGGCATTTCCTTGAGCGGTTTGTGCGATCGATTCTTTGTGGCCAGTCCAAATCCTCATAGCAATAGCAATATGACACTAATGGGCACTACGACAACAGCAACAGCTACTACCACAAATAATAATAATAATAATAACAACAATAATAATAACAACAACAATTTGGAGGCTAAGACAGTGAGGCCATCGAACGGTGGTTCGGTGATCATTGAATCTGTGACGGTGCCATCGTTTGCCAATATTTTATTTCCCACCCACCGTTCCGCCAACGAGTGCATTGATCCCGCCTTGTTGCAAAAGAATCCCCAGAACCACACCACTGCTACTA